GGGGACGAGGGGCACACGAGCGAGCCCTCCCACAGTGCCACCCCCGACGTGGGCAGCACCAACACGGACGAGCGTCCCGATGACCGCTCCGAGGACCTGCTCTCCCAGGGCTCCGAGATCCCCCTGGACGCGGCTCCCCCCGAGGGGCCCGGCCGCCGGCACGGGGGGCTCAGCCCCAAGGTGATGCCCCCCAGCACCCACAGCCCTCCCAGGGGTGGGGGTCCCCAGGGTTGGGGATGGTGGGGTGCCCTGAGCCCCCCTGGGATGGGGTTAGCAAGGGGAAGAGGGTCCCCCCAGGGCTCCACTGGGGATGGGGGTCCCCCTGGGTTGGGGATGGTGGGGTCCCCTGAGCCCCTCTAGATGGGGTCAGCAAGGGGAAAGGGGTCCCCTGAGCCCCCTCAGATGGGGTTACCAAGGAGAAAGGGCTCTCCAGGGCCCCACCAGGGATGGGGATCCCCCTGGGTTGGGGATGCTGGGGTGGGGGGTTCCATCGAGTTCCCCAAGATGGGGTTAGGAAGGGGGAGGGAGTCTCCAGGGTTGGGGATGGGGGGGTGGGTGTCCCCTGAGCCCCCTCAGATGGGGTTAGCAAGGGGAAGGGGGTCTCCAGGGTCCCCCTGGACAGGGGTAGCAGGGCAAGGGGGATGTTTAACCCCCCCATTTGTGTCCCCCCCCCCCAAGGTCTCCGAGGACTCGGACTGTGACAGCGCAGAGCTCGACCACTCAGGCAGCGGCGAGGGGCCCCCCCGGCCCACAGCCCCCCCGGGCCTGTGACCTGCGTCCCCCCCCTCACACCCCCACCCCCTGCACCCCCTCACTTGTACAGCCCCAAATATTTATATAAATATCTATCGATCTCTACTGCTGCTGCTGCCTCGGGGTGGGGGGCACTGCAAGGGGTTTTTTTGGGGGTGGGGGTGGGCAGGGGGCTTTGAGGGGGCACTGCAAGGTGGTTTGGGGGGTACTGGGGCAGAGAACAGGGGGGAAGGGTGTTTTGTCTCCCTCATTTGTTTATGAAGGTCCTACTGTAACAACCCCACAGAGGTGGAGAAGGGACCTGCCCCCTAATTTGAGGGAGGGGGCACAGGATATAAGGGGCTGAGCCCCCTAGATAGTCCAAGCCTTTCTTTACTGGTGACACTGGGAACACTGGGCGGTGGCAGACACTCAGGGAAGGGGGGGGGGGGGGGGGGGTGTGCCCCCCAGGGGATTTTAGGGGGAAGGAGGGGGGAAAGGAAAGAGTGAACAGAACAAACTGGCACACCAGTTTCCATTAAAGACCAGTTAGCAGGGAACTGGGAGAGGAGAGACACCCCAAAAATGCATCCAGAGGATCAAAGTTCCCACCCCAGGACCAGTTTATGTCAGTCCAGTGAGACCCCAAAACCCAAGTGGGCCATAAGTGGGAGCAGTGGGCCAGTTTATCCCACTGCAGAGGGATCCCCAAACTGGGCCATACTGGGAGCACTGGGCTGGTTTACCCCACACTCTGGAAGGATCCCAAATGCCAACCAGGCTGGTTTATCCCTCTCCTGAGGGAACCCAAAGGGGGCTATACTGGGAGGACTGGGAAGAGCCAAGGGGGTTCAAATAAAGACGGAGACAGGCAGATCCATTAACCAAAATATCCTGCAGGTTCTATTCACAAGGAAAAGCTCCAGTCCATCTTTTTATTCAGTTTTTTTTTGAAAAATTTCCTGACGTTACAGAACTAAACTGAAATGTTGTTTTTTTGTGTTTTTTTTTTTTTTTTTTTTTTTTTTGTGGGTTTGGGTTTTTTTTGCCTTTTTTTTTATTTCCACTCTTAACATTTTATGACAAAAACAGAAACTTCATGAGCCGAAAAAAGGATGGAAGGGGGGGGAGAAAGGGAGGGAGGTGCGGGGAAAGGGAGGGGAGAGGAGAGAGAAGCTTTATAAAACTAAGATTTGGGGTTCAGCAGTTTTTTTTTTTTTAAGAGAGCTGAACGAAAGGAATTAAAATGCTTTTTGTCTTTTAATTCAAAAAAACCCGAAAAAAAAAAAACCAAAAACAAAAACCAGAACAAAAATGAAACCAACTGAACCTGGTGAGTGGCGCGAGGCTGGAGGAACCGAAAATGTACAAACTAGTTAAAACCTGGGTCGGTGCTAAAGGGGTCGCAGATGGATGGCGAGGCTGGGGGGGTCCGGGGCCCCCCTAACTGCTGCCCATGCCCCCGGTCTCCGAGGAGAGCCTGCAACGAGAAAAGGGCGTCAGAGGGACCCCCCCAAAGGAAGAAAGGGGGTCAGAAGGGCCCCCCACCGAGGAGAAAAAGGCTTTAGAGGGACCCCTGCAATGAGAAAAGGGCATCAGAGGGAGTCTCAAATGAGGAAGGGCCCCCCCCACTGAAAAAGGGGCATCAGAGGGACACCTGCAATGAGGGAAGGGTGTCAGAGGGACCCCCCAGTGAGAAAAGGGCAAAGGGGATCCCTGCAACGAGGAAAGGGCATCTCAGGGACACCCCCCCAATGCAGAAGGGGCATCAGAGGGGCCTCCCCTGACAAGGAAAGGGTGTCAGAGGGACCCACCCCAATGAGGAAAGGGATCAGGGGACCCCCTGCAACAAGGAAAGGGCTTCAGAGGGGCCCCCAACGAGGGAAGGGCATCAGAATCAGAGGGACTCCCCAGTGAGGAAAGGGTGGGGGGGCCCCCTCAACAAGGAAAGGGCATCAAAGGGGATCCTTGAATGAGGAAAGGGCATCAGAGGGGACCCCCAACAAGGAAAAGGCATCAGAGGGGACCCCCGAGGAGGAGGTGGGTAGGGAGGAAGGCAGCCCTGTGGGGAGCACCTGGAGAGGGAACCCCCCCAAGAGGGAGGGGAGGGGGTTTTGGGGTGCAGAGGGAGGTGGTTTATGCACAAGCAGCGAGGAAAGGGAGGGGAGGAGGGGGGTGCAGGGCACGGCCCCCTCCCGAAACGGCACCTGAGGGGCTCCCAGGGGGCTGGTGGGGAGGGAGGGAGGGTCCAGGCTGAGCATGGCTGGCTCTGCTCCAAGCTTTTGGGGGCAGGGGGGGGAACTCAGGGGAAGGGGGACCCCGAGGGGCAGGAACGAGGCAGCAGGGAAGGGAGAGTGCGATGGGAGTGGGGGGTGAACCCCCAGCAGGGACCCCTCAGGCAGGGGGAGGGTGGGGGGCAAGGCAGGGGACACACAGACATTGCAAGGGCATCTCTGAGCCCCCC